CAACTCTTATCACAATCCATACATACAACAATTGTGTAAAGCAATTTGTACATTCATTGTCCTCATCATTCTCAAAACATTTGCTCTCCATTAAGCCCCTGGCATCAGCTCCTCATCTTGGCCCCCTCCCTCCCCTTTCCCCCCACCCTCTTGACCCTTGATAATTTATTATTCTGTGTATATTCTTCTTTTTAAGTAGGTCTCTCTTTTTCCCAGAAACTACTCCTGCAAACAGTTACAGTCTAAGGAACTCAAAGAGGCAGTTAGTTCTACCCTGTCACCGTGAGGGTCCCCATGGTTCTGATCGCCTCAATGACAATGAGTTTGGGTTTTAGGTTTCTCTTCTTTTTCTTTTTTTTAGGGTTCTTATAGAGGTGTTTTGTCATTTCCTTTCTACAAGCCATTTGTTTCTCTGGTTTATTCTTACATGTTTCATCTTTTGAGTGTCCATTGTAAGTGGTATTGCAAAGTAATGAAAAAATTATTCAGAAATGAAAGGGACCCCACATAAGCAAAGCACTACTAAAGAAGTACAAAGTAAGAGGCCTTTCTCTTTCTGGTTTCCAAAACTACATGGTGGTCAAAACAGTCTGGTACTAGTACAATAGATGCATAGACCATGGAACAGAACTGAAATCCTAGAGGTTAATCCATCCACTTAGACAGCGGATCTTTGACAAAGTGCCAAAGTACCTGAAAGGGGAGGAGATGTCTGTTTAACAAATGGTAATGGCAAATCTGGATACCTATTTGCAGAAGACTAAAGCAGGACCCGTGTCTCACTCCCTATGAAAAATGAACACAAAATGCATTGAAGACCTATGTGTAAACCTAGAAAACTATAAAGATCATCAATGAAAAAATAGGGACAAACATAGGGACTCTGATGTATGGCATAATGAAGCGGATTGTAGCAGATGCAGTTAGGTTTAAATTTAGCCCCCTATCATTTGATCTTCACTTAAATTTTTTCTAGTTTTATAAATTTTCTGTTTTCTTTTTGATTGAGGTTTTTATCTGTTTTACTTTGTTACTATTGTTAGCTGTTGTTGCTTTGTTTCTTTTAAAATTGTCTTTCTGTGTGTGAACCCCGGGATAGGGAACTCTATAGCGACAGTGTCAGGATTAAGGCTGGGGGTGGGGTGAGGGAGTTTGGGACAAAATGATGAGCTAATAATGATGGGTACAAGATAGAACAACATGTTCTCAAGATGACTGTGGTAATGATTGTATAGTTTCTTTTTTTTCTTATTAATTTTTAAAAATCATTTTATCGGGGGCTCTTACAGCCCTTTTTCCCCTCCATAGTTAAATCACTTAAAAAAAACCCATTTTGTTGGGGGCTCATACAGCTCTTACCATAAATCCATACACCCATCCATTGTGTCAGAACATTTGTACATTTGTTGCCATCATTTTCAAGACATTTCCTTTCTACTTGAGCCCTTGGTATCATCAGCTCATTTCTCCCCTCCCATCTCCCTCCCTCATGAACCTTTGATAATTTATTAAAAATTTTTTTCATGTCCTACACTGACCTATGTATCCCTTTACTCACTTTCCTGTTGTCCATACCCCTGGTGGGGGGTTACATGTCAATCATTGTGATCAGTTC